ATGAGATTCACTTATTTTAAAAATAAATATTTACTTATATTCTATATTAAATTTTAACAATCAAATTATTAAATTAAAATTTTTTAATATATAAATCAAGTTTACAAATTTTTAAAAAGATTTAAAAATTATATAATACTCTATTATATAATTTTAAATTTACATATAAAATACTTTTATATTTATTTGTTTATTTAAATTAAGAAATAAAGTATTAAATAATTTTTAATGTTTTTAAAAGTAATAAACTTGATTTATGTATTAAATTTTTTTAATTTAAGTATTAAATTATTAAAATTTAATAACAAACATTATTAAATTAAATGAAGTAAATCTCCTAAATCTTACCGAAGTAAATCTCTCCTCCCTCTTGAAGTCTAATAAGAATTCTGACACAACGGTTAATTGGCGACATAGAAAAAATGAGATGTTAGCATACATTATAAAGAGTACATGTAACATTCTATGAAGATAGTCCACTCCCTAACCATTAAAAAAAGTATTACATAGACTAAATGATCAAAATATTTTTTTTTTGAGACTAAAAGAACAAGAGATTCATATTACAAATATTAAACCAAATAAGCAGTTGATTCCAATAGAATTGGACTTAACCCTCATATATTTTGGATTCGAGTTACCTAAATGAAAAATTTTGATCGAAAGAAATTTTTTTTAAAATTAACTAACTAATTTTTTTTTAAAGAAAATTAATCATTATTGAAATATGTTTATACTGATAATATAATTCAAAATTATAATTAAAATAAAATTACAAATCCTAAAAAAATATTGGCTTAATTGTGCTTTTGATCTCTCAAGTATTGTAATTGTGCAATTTTGATCCTCAAAGTTTTAATTGAGTAATTTTAGTCCTTAAAAGATTGTAATTGTGTGATTTTAGTCCCTTAATTTTTAATTGAACAGTTTTAGTCTCTCAACTATTATAATTGTGCGATTTTAGTCTTTTCCATTAAAAATTTAGTAATTTTAGAATATATATATATATATATATATAATGTTTTAAAACTATACAATTGCTTACTTATTTAAGTTAACATATATTATAATTTTTGTTAATATATCAAATGATATATATTTATTATTACTAAATAAATAAAATTTATATATTATTAGTATTTTAATATTATTGATAAATTAATATCAATAATATTTTTAGTATATTTATAGATAAACTAATAATTTGATAAATATGACTTAGTATATATTAATATAATTTTACAAAAATATAAATATATAACAAAAGATATGTATATTTTTAATTAATATACTTATATTTTTGTAAAAGTATATTAATATATAATAAATTAATTTATCAAATTATTGGTTTATCTATAAATATACTAATAATATTATTGATATTAATTTATCAGTAATATTATAAAAATAATAATATATAAATTTTATTTACTTATTAATAATAAATATATATCATTTGATGCATTGAAGAAAATTATAATATGTGTTAACTTGAATAGACTAATAATTATATAATTTTAAAATATTGTATATATATATATTAAAATTATTAAATTTTTAATGAGAGAGACTAAAACCGCATAATTATAATATTTGAGGGAATAAAATTGTTCAATTAAAAATTGAAAGACTAAAATCGTACAATTACAATTGACTAAAATTACCAAATTAAAATTTTGAAGATCAAAATTGCCCATTTAGAATACTTGAAGGATAAAAATGTAATTAAGGCAAAGATATTTAAGACAACGTTCTAAGATCTTTCAGTGTGTATAGATAAATAACGATAACAAGGACCACAAGAGAGACGTTAACTACCAGCACGTCTTCTACTTCATTTCTCTCTACAAAAAATTAGAGGTCACCAAAACTCCAAAGCATAGCAGCGTACACCAACCACAACACTGTCAACACAACACACATAAACACTACCAAACCAAATGCACATGCAAAATTTTCTTCCACACTCCACTCCAACCACGCCACCACCACCCCCACGCGAATTCTGAACTCTGAATAGAGAGAGAAACGCTCCCAAACAGAAACATGCTACTCCTCCCCGCGCTTTCCCTCTCTCCGTTTCCCTCCTCTCTCGTCTCAACCCGCTCTCTCCAATTCCAGCCTCGTCGGAGCCAACCCGCTCCTCGCCGCGCCGTCAGATGCGCCGTCGCGCCCTCCGGCGGCGACGAGTTCACGGCGAAGTCCGGGTACCTGTTCGAGCTGAGCGCGACGGAGGCGGATTCGCTGGCGGAGTATCGGATACCGAAAATCGCGGCTATTTATTCGCGGAAGCCTCTGCTCGTGGCTCGCCGGTTGCTTCAGACCGGAATCGCGTTCAGCAAGTGGTTCGGTCTACGCTACGTCGACACTCTCTTGGACCGCTCCGAGTCAATGTTTCAGGTTTCGTAAGGCTGTTATATTTTTTTTTGTTGGTGAATTTGGGTTTGGGATTTTAGGTTTGGAGGAAGTGGTTTTTT